ATTGACCGTCACATTATAACGCCCTCGCGGCTGAAAGGGCAAGCATGTTTGGTGGGACGGGGATTCGAACCCGCAACCCTCAGATTGCGAGTCGAGCTCCCTATCCACCTGCCCATGCCGGGCCGAGCCAAGTAGTAAAACTACTTAGAACTCACAGTTGAAACACTTCTTGGACAATAAAATAGATTGCAGTGACGAAAGGAGTAAGGGATTTCTCTAGAAATACTGATGCGTCAGCGAGGTCACGTGACTAGTGTCACGCCACCTATTTTCTAGAAATATCCCGTTCCTTCGTGAATGCCCTAGCATTTACTAGATATATGTTAGTCTGGTATATATATATAAGATGCTCACAACGCGAGGGGACAGCGTGTGTAGGTAGTGAGTAATTGAACTGCAGTCAAAGAGTATTGTTGAAGTTAACGCGTTTGTTTTAGCGCGACTGTTGAAAATAAGTGTATCGTACAGTTGTATTCGGAAAGAATAAACCAGTTTTATTAAGTAAGAACTTGTGTTGCTAAAGTTTCGTCGGAACGAAGTTACGAAAAATCAATTAACGAACGAAGACGTAACAATACTTAACAGTTTGAGATCAGGATTAAAATGATGATATCTTTGGCAACACAGATGAATCGCTAGACATAGGCCTGATAAAATCCACATTCTCTGAATCTGTTAATAACAGTTGCACGGTAAGGAAGCCCAACATGAGCTTCGAAACCCGCTTTTGTTATAGCCAGATTGGTCTTAAAGCATCAAAGTGTGTGCCAGACAGTTAAACAATAAGTCATTTGACTATAGAAGGTGGAATGATAAATCCATTAGAGCACTCGTAAGGGAAAAATCTTCTTATACTTCGTCATGATATAAATTACTCTCACAAGTTTATTTGAAATCATTAAAATTTGTTCATCCCATCTAAGATTTCTTTGAATAATCACTCCATGAATCAACCATGTCAGTAGCATACCATTAAAAATCTTATCCTCAATTATCGGTTCTCTAGATATAATCATATATCACGATTTACTAATATTTAAAGCAAGGTAGTTATCAACAAGCCAAGCTTCAATAGACATCCGATTTCTAAAACAATCCGCAAGGTGATACGATTCAATAATAAGAGTCGTATCATCAGCATGCAGATAAAAAGTATAATATTTAATGTTTATTAAAGGTGTGTAAAGGGACTCGATGTACTTACAATAAAATAGTATAAGCTTTCTTCATCCGCATGCGGTAGAAGGGGCACTTGCCTTCCCTGGAAAATGAGAAACATACTTCATTCTTTATACATTCAGCATAGGTATGTGAATTTTTTATTCAATTTACAATCTCACACTACTTTGCTCCACCCCGGAAAAATGTTTGCGGACGCCCAAGACTATTCCTGTTTTTCCTTATAAGAGGACTGGCCCGGCATGGCTAGGTGGTTAGGGCACTCGACTCGCACTCTGAGAGTCGCAGGTTCGAATCCCCGTCCCACCAAACATGCTTGCCCTTTCAGCCGCGAGAGCGTTATAATGTGACGGTCAATCCCACTATTCGTGGGTAAAAGAGTAGCCCAAAAGTTGGCGGTGGGTGGTGATAACTAGCTGCCTTCCCTCTAGTCTTACACTGCTAAATTAGGGACGGCTAGCGCAGATAGCTCTCGTGTAGCTTTACGTGAAATTCAAAACAAACAAACAAACCTTGTAAGAGGCATACTTTTTATCAATAAATTGCATGTACATCAGCATCAAAAGTGCTTAAATATTTTATTTAAATTTATTACCAGTATTGAAAATGAATTTGAATGATAAATTTTTGACTAAATTAATTTCATTGACCTTTTGTTATATAAGCCGGGAGGAAACAAAGTATCCGTGTTTATGCAATATTAATAATAACTGTTTCTACTGAAATATTCGTCAAATTACAGAATTATGCTACATATAGGTAATTGTTTTCATGATTAGTACTACAAAGTGTTTACTCATTATACAAAAAATCTTTTGTGAATGGCTATCGCTTTGTTTGTGTCATTATAACTCCTTGATCAAGTTAGTATGAGTTTTTTTCCCAATTAGTGTTATTAAACACTTTTCTAACTTGAGAAGGGTGAGAGAAAGGTAAAATAGTTTAACTAAATTTTGGTGGCACAGCGGTATATCTGCGGACTTATACTACTAGAAACCGGATTTCGATACCCGTGGTGGGCAGAGCACAGATAGCTCTTTGTGTAACTTTAAACTTAATAACAAACAACAACAACTAAATTTTGGCTGGTCATATCACATAATAGATTCCAGAATCAGATTTATTTTTATCTAAGAGCAAAGGATCAGAATGAGCTATCTGCTCTGTGCCCACCGCAATACCGAAAACCCAACTTAAAGCATTATAAGCCATTAGGTATTACCGCTGAGCCACTTGGGAATACGAGTAATAAAAAAAAGGACACACTAGCCGCATAGATTATTCTGTAATCCAATAATTATTAGTGATATTTAGTATTTTATTTAAATATTACTAGTTTTTGTTAGAAAGCTTTAAAATTCCGTGTTAGTAAAATAGTAACTTTATTTTTTATGAAAAAAAGGGGAAAACAATTTACAAACTATATAATTTTTCCTTAGAAAAATATTAGTAGGCCTTTAATGATATTATTCGACTTTAACATCTAATTCAAACAAAAGTGTTTCCCCCTATTCCCAGTGGCTCAGCGGTAAGTCTGATGAATTATAATGCTGTAGTGGGCACAGCACAGATAGACCATGGTGTAACTTTTGGCTTAACAACAAACAAATTTAAACAAAATTTATTTATTGCAAATTAAATTACTGTGATCACTTTTTTCTTCTGAATTATCGGTACAAAATAATTACATTACTTTTATACTACTCGCCTGATGACAAAATTCAGTCATGTCCCCCCCCCCATATATACATAGGGACTTTGCTTCGCCCCTGAATGTCAACCATATGAAATTCATTAAGGATCGATATATTTGATTTAAGAAGGTTTGCATTTGGTTTAATTTGTTATTTGCCATGTAGACTGTTCACTTTTAGTAGCCCCCCAGTGGCGCAGCGGTATGTCTGCGGACTTACAACGCTAGAATCCGGGTTTCGATACCCGTGGTGGGGCAGAGCACAGATAGCCCATTGTGTAGATTTGTGCTTGATTACAAACACTTTTAATAAGTAAAAAAAATCCCCTTATTACTTTTACTAATAATCAAAGATGGCGTACATTTGTCTTAAAACAAGCAAATAGATTTTCTAGTGTTCCATGTTGCCTAGGGAAAATATTTAACGTGGACTTTGTTTCATTCTGTCATAGTTTACATATATGCAAAATAGAATATAAAGTAGTGGTAAAAACTCGCCAAATTAAAATATATTTGTTACTAAAGTTATTTTAATTTGGCGACTTTTTTACCACTACTTTATATTCTATTTCACATTTTGTCATTTCCTCGCCTACGCAATTACAGTATTTTATTACTTCAACTAATCCCCCCATAGTTTACATAAAGTCAGTA